AAAAAAAAAAAAAAAAGAAAAAAACCTGCATCAGCACTAATTTCTTCTTCCCTGCACGCATGCAGCTTCTGGTTTTGCCCCTTTTTGCTCATTAGTTCTACTAAACTTATAATAACTCATCTTTAGTAAAAAAAATTGAGCCTGGGCAGTTGCCCAAGCTCGCCTACACGTGAATCCGCCCCTGATTATAATAAAAATGTTTTATCCATACATCAATAATTTTATATATACAAATGATTTATTTAATGGATACACACACACGTTATTTCTCACATAAACATTAGGAAATAGTATAATTTAGCTAATTTTGATACATTTTAAATTAAGTTTATGTTAGACTATTCATAGTCGAACGCTAACAAATATACGAGTTTTATCGAATTGAGTCGAGCTCGACTCGTTGAGCTCAAACTTAAGCCGAGTCAACCTTGTTTAATTTAACCGCACTAGGGTTACATAAGCATTTATAATATTTCTTATATAACACATGCATCACACCCCTTACGTAATAGTTTTTATTAACTGAATTAATTTGGCTATGAATTAAATATTAAATTATTATATATAATGAAATCATAAAAGAAAAAATAAAAAATAATATCAATTATCATCTCTATATTAACTAATATTCGTTGATTTTAATTATAATTTACAATAAACTCCTTCATGTGAAGGTGGAGCAAGTTAGCTAATCTCAATGAGGCCATTCTTAAAATCAAGAACACCTTAACATCATCAAAACCAATATATTAGCAACCACTTTGATGATCATCAGCACTATAAATTGATCACCAACACATAACCATACAATCTTCATTAGTTTCTTTCATCACCAATTAACTTCTTTAAGAAAAAAGCGATGGATTCGACTAAAACGAGTGGTGAAACGGCCATCAACATCCCCTAGTCGTCGAAGTCCACCAAATCGAAAAACGTTGCCAACATTGCAATGCAACAAAGAATATACGGGCAGTGTAGAAGAGGGTTAGCCATTCTTGACTTTGTCATGAGGATTTGTGCGCTTGTGGCGGCTCTGTCAGCGGCCACAACCATGGGCACCACCGATCAAACCCTCCCTTTCTTCACTCAGTTCTCCCAATTCCAAGCCAGCTACGAGACCTCCCGACCTTCACGTACGTATCGACCTTTATTTTATTTTTTTTAAATAAAAAGATAATAATGATATTCGATATCACATTTTACACTATGGTTAATAATGATGATGCACAGGTTATTCGTGGTGGCAAATGCAGTAGCGAGTGGATACCTTGTCCTATCCTTGCCTTTCTCCATTGTTTGCATTGTTCGTCCTCAAGCACAAGGAATTAAGCTCCTCCTCCTCCTCTTTGATACTGTAATTAATTAATTAATTTAAGCCCCATCAAAACAAATATTAATAATAATAAATTTGTGTTATCCTAAAAAAAATAAATAACTAAAATTTTTCCTTTTTTTGCTTGGCAAAAATTTAATTTTCGTCCACTATGTTATAATTTGGTCAATTTCAATACAGTAATTCCGAGGGTCGGATTACATGATGACGTGGATAAGAATTGAAACTGGCGTGGATGCATAAAACTTTGAAATTAAAGGATTACAATTTAGGGGACCAAAATCGAATATTTGCTTTTTTGGTTCTAGCATGAAAAAATTATTTAAAGAAAGTTCTCACTATGCTTGACAGCGAATATAAAAGTATTCTAAATCAAAAAAGCAAGAAATAAGCATACATTTTATTTATTTATTTATTTATTTTATTCGGTACCTGAAATAGGCGCTGGTGGTTCTTACAACGGCAGGGGCGGCGGCGGCGGCCGCCATCGTGTACTTGGCGCACAACGGGAATTCGAAGACAAATTGGTTGTCTATTTGTCAACAGTTTAACGATTTTTGCCGGCGGACAAGCGGCGCTGTGGTGGCCGCTTTTATCGGCGCCGCCATCTTCGTATTCTTGGTTCTGCTCTCTGCCCTGGCGCTTGCTAAGCACTGATAAGTTGGGTTAATTACGAAACTACCCCACAAGTTTTCTTTTATTTTTTAAGAAACCTTTTTTAATTAACCCTGATCATTATGTGCACCTCACCCTTGCTTTTTTTTATTTTATTATTATTATTAATAATATTGTTTCGTGATTTTATTGGGAATTTGGGATGTGATGAAAATGGTAAAATGCTTTCTTTGTCACCGTATCTTGGCTTTTTCATTATTTTAAATAAATAGTGGTCAGGTAAGTTGATTATTTGTTACTTAAAACTTTATCTTAAATATAATTATTTATAGTTAACATCTCAATATTTCAAGAAAAAAATACAAAATATAAAAAATTATATATTATTTGTTTGAATAGAATAAGTCTGTACAGTCAAATCAATAACGTATTAAGACCTAACAAATAATATTCTAAAATTAATTATAGTCGTCATACTTTTTAATATATATATGAGATGTTTAAGATTCGTACGGTTAAAATTCATAATTCGTATATGAGATGAAAAATGGCGAACACATTTGACAAAACGTAAGGCCGTATTATTTTCGTGCAATTGTTTGATTCAACGTCGTTAAGTTGTGTAATTTTATTTGAAAGGGACGATATAATGTGGAATTATTATATACCAGAAATTAAACGAAAAATAAATTCTTATAAGAAAGTTATGGTTGTTAGTTGGATAAATACGGAGATGAATCAATCTATATAAAAGCTATACAAAGAATAAAATTTGTAAATTAAAAATATTAACTTTGAGCAGATTTTTTTGGTTGGCAGATCTTAAATATTTACATACACAATTTGAAGAAATTATCGGCCATATTTTCAGGACTTAAGGTTTACCCAATATCTTTTTCAAATAAGTTTT